CAAATATATGTAAAAATATGTTAAAACAATTATGAAAAATATATTAAAATAATATATGTTTGATAAAATATTTTTCATATATTCTGTAATAATATAAAAAACGCATTTCAACATACAGTATATATATATAAAATATATATATATATATATATATACACACACACACACACACACATATATATATTGTTTTTAAATATATTGAATATGGCCAAAATTCTTCCATGTGGGTAATGAGATGCCCATCATCATATCTGGGAACCGTCTGCCTTAACTTTCCATACCGACCTGAAGATTCCTGAGATCATTGTAACTGGGAGTGAGTGGAGGGATTTAGGCTGATTTGATTTCTAATAATTTTTAATTGCAGCTCAATATCTTCCATAAAGGGGTTAAGGTCGATTACACCCTTAAAAACCTTTTTTGGGGAGAAAAAAAAAAGTTCAGATCCTGTCTATGCAATTAGCAGATATGTCTGCCCACATAGACTATAGTCTCAATTCACACACATGATGATGTCATCACCATTCTCTGCATTGTTACATTGTGAATGAAGGGTGCCATGCTTATGCACTTCATTCACAAGATTGTCTCCATCATCCAAGTAGAATGATGCTGGGTGTCAATTAACCTCGAAGACTGAGGCTATCTTTTGATGGAAAAGAATTCCTGCTGCTAACAGCATCTGAAAAAAAAGTGAGTACTGAAGCCCAAGCTCTTTTTTTTTTAAACATTGCCTGGGGGACATAGAAAAGTAAAGCAAAATTAGCTTCAATAAAGATGAATATTCAGGAAGATGAGTAGCCAGCTCTTCACATCATTATTTTCAAGCTGTGACCGTGTTTGGAGAGATACGCAGATCCAGAGCACCGACAGTCTACCTCTGAGGGGAATATACATAGGTGTAGCATCTTTCTTTGGAGGGTTGATGTGCGCCCTTCAGGATACGTCCAGAGCAAGCAAGAGCAGAAAGCCTATTTCAGGGGACGTACAGCAGAGGGAAGGTGGAGGAACTGGCTGGCAACCCCTTATTAAATATGGATTGTAACAAATAGTTTTGCAAGACACTGAAGGGAAGAAATAAGTGTTGTAAATCTATGCTGGAAAACAACTTTGCACCCTGTTCATGTTCACAGTAAAACATTTAAAATGGCTGATCATGCTTACAATTGTTTATTTGAGAAGTTGGGCGAGGAATACATGAGTATCCAAGATGGTGGAGTTCCTGCATAATACAGATTTTTGGTACCCCATCACCTTTCTGTTGTAGGAGGGTGGGAGGTGTTCTTGGCCAGCAGAACTATTACCATTGACCATTCTTGGCCAGCATGACCATGGTGGTGAATCATAAATAGGGCTGTATTTGAACTTGATTACCCTCTATCTATACCACCGCAATTGATACCACCAAGACATCCATCTTTTTTTTGCCAAAAAATATTGTGAAGATGTTGGCACCCACCAGAAGAACCTGGAAAGTGCCAATCTAATCTTTGTTTTTGAAAGAAAGGAACCTTGAGTATTAAGCCATTGTCCATGAGAAAAATCTTGTTCTTTGGATAATCTTGAGACTTTTTTTTTTTTTTATTCAACTTTATTGCTATCACAATGGATGAATAACATCCCTTGTGATAGCTGGGGCAGTGACAGGTCATTTTTATGGAGAGATCTAGGGTCTATTAGACCTCTGATCCCTCCTCTGCCCTCCAAAGCAGCCGATCAAATCAACATTTGCTTGATCAGCTGCTTCTATGGTCAGGACCGGCTAGTGAACAAAAAAACTGAATCTGGTAGAGACAAAACCCATGTCACTTTCAGCCTCAATTGTCACAGAGGAAGGGAAGGAACAGCTGTTCCTTCTGCTCTGCTGGTAGCCGGCTTGACGGTGTAGTAGTAGTCCCTTGCTCCCCGGTGTAACATGAAAGCATAGGAATGGCAGCAGGAAGGTAAAAACATCCTCCACCATGTATCTGCACCTCACACAGTGTGACCTCACATTATGCAATGTTATGGTCTCACTACACTTTTGGTCCCATTTGGACTCAGAAGATCAGCTTGCTGAATGAGGACTCCAAAGTAAGCTCTCTCCTGATAAACATCTTGGTGTCAGCCCATATTCCTCATTAACCGCCTCCTGCCCGCCATATAAGGAAATGACGGACGCGAGGCGGTTCTCTCATTCTGGGAGGATGTTATATGACGTCCTCCCACACTAACCGCGTGTGCATGGCCCCGGGTGGCGTGCAGCGTGGCGATCGGTGCTGCGCTATGTCCCTGGGACACAGCAGATCACCGATCAATGGAAAGAGCCAAAGATGTTTGCTCTGTCATGTGATCAGCTGTGTCCAATCACAGCTGATTGCATGTAAACAAGGAAATGCCAGTTATTGGCATTTCTCTCCTCACAAGCTGTCCCGCTGACAGAGGAGAGGAGAACCGGTAATCAGCATTACTCAGAGGGGACATGTACACTGATTATCAGTGTGCCCTGATGATCAGTGTAGCCCCAGCAGTGCCACCTGTCAGTGCCTACCAGTGCACATCAATTCCCATCTGAGCTGCCTTTCAGTACCACCTATCAGTGCCACCTATCAATGCCAGTCAGTGCCACCTATCAGTGCCAGTCAGTGCCGCCTAACAGTGCCATATATGAGTGCTGCCTTTTAGTGCCCATCAGTGATGCCTGTCAATGCCAGTGCCATCAGTGCCACCTACCAGTGCTTCCTCATCAGTCATCAGTGCTTCCTCAGTGCCACCTACCAGTGCTTCCTCATCAGTGCCCATCACTGCAGCCTCATTAGCGCACATCAGTGAAGGAGACAAATCACTTATTTAAAAAATGTTATAACATAAATTAAGAAAAAACATTTTTTTTCAGTTGTTTTTGTTTGTTTAGTAAAAATTAAAAAACCCAGGAGGTTTATTAAATACCACCAAAAGAAAGCTCTGTCTCAAAAAAATGATAAAAAATGTCATATGGGTGCGGTGGTGCCTGACTGCGCAGTTGTCAAAGTGTGACAGCTGAAAATTGGCCTGGGCAGGACGGGGGTATAAGTGCCCGGTAGGCAAGGGGTTAAAAAAAACTCCACATAGTGCTTCATCCTTTTAAAACTTTCATTAAGCAATTAAACATCAGAAATGCGCTCACATTCCGGAGGTGTATAATGGGTAGAGGTGTATATGGACTCTGCTGCTGAGATGATACTGCCATCTAGTGTCTAATCAGTACATCACTGGATCTTCATCATAGGTGGTGCAATATACACCTCCGGAACGTGAGTGTATTTCATATGTTTAAGTGATGAATAAAAGTTTAAAAGATAAAGCACTATGTGGAGTTCTTTTTAATGAGGAATACGGATGACACCAAGATGCTTATCAGGAGGGAGATTCTTTGGAGTCCTCATTCAGCAAGCTGATCTTCTGAGTCTAAATGGGACCAAAAGTGCAGAAAATGATTGTACCATTGTACAATGTGAGGTCACGCTGCGTGAGGTGAGCAGATACATGATGGAGGATGTATTCTCACTGGAATTTGTGACAGCTGCACACACTTTTCATTATCCAAAAGGAGTGTTCACAGAAGACCACTCTAGTGATTGGACTTGAGTTTTTGAATAACTTTTGGTTGATACATATTTTTTAAATGTTCTCTTTTTTTTTTTATATATATACACACACACACAGTATATATTAAAACAAAGCGTATATATATATATATATATATATATATAGTAACAGGTTTTTCTCGGCAGCAGGTGTGTGTGACCCCCTGGGTGAGTTCACACCCAAAAAAAACAGGCACTGCAAAACAGCAGTGTAGGTGAAAAACAAAAAGGTGCAGTTTATTTACACTAATTTACAAGACAAACATCAAACCAAAAAGAAACATGAAATTAAATCCTTGCCAACTTGGCCACTTACTATACAATAGTTTCCCTAGCTACCCACTAGGTACAGCCTGATGCTACACCCAGTCCCTATCAGTTGGCAGCTAGCCACACAGACAGGTATGCTGCTCCCCAGTCTACTCAGGCACAGATCTGGCTTCAGGATGGAGCAACTCCCTAAGCAGGATGGGAAGTTTTATAGAGGTCCTAATGAGCCCACTGCCTTCAGCTGGGCTCATTACCTCAGTGCTGAAGGCTCAGCAGTTCCCCCTAGTGGAGCAAATCCACGTAGAGCCTAAATCTCGGACAGATATACTGTATATGCCGCCCTGGACGTAACCCGATGATTTTACCTGCCTACTGTCACAATATATATATCGTTTTTTAATTTTTCACTTTGCTTTTGATATATAGTAATTGTGCAATTTTTCATGTAGTGCAGACTTTTTTTTCACTTTATAATACTATTGTATAATTTGCCCCACTGAGACATGGGTTGTGTGCACTAGCGGCTACAGTATTTATACGTCATTGATTTAGGATGACTAGTAAGCGCTTGAGTTATTTAATTTATTTTTGGCTGCAGGCAGGGGGGCCCTTTTATGAGCACTGTCAAAGTGATTGGATGGCTGTAGAACCACTCGGATCACTTTTTCATGAAAGTCCATCTCCAAGTGAGAAATCCATACAGGATTATGGCTGCAGCTGCAGCCATGATCCTGGATAATCACTTCCAGCCAAGGACGTACAAGTACTGTGTGTCCTAAGAGCTGGAATAGGTAAAATATCACTTTCTGTCACTCTGATGCTTTATTTCCAATAGCCCCAATAAGGGAACTTACACAGATCATTTGTGATGGCAGATCTGGAGCAGCACATGCTCAGTAAACTCCATTCACGGGGACCAACAAAGGAAAAAGGTAAAAATGGGACTTTACTGCTGATGTTATGCTCAGGAAAAAACACACAAAAAGAACTGTATAAAACAAGCAATTATATTGCAAAACCTTTTTGATGAAAATTGTTATATAACCCACAAAGATAAATGAAAGTTGGATGAACCTTTGCAAGTGTAAATAAGTACCCCATGCACCCTCCCCTACATACAGCACATGTAAGGGAATTATGGTGAGATGGCTGGCTAATAGAAATGCGTGCAGCAATCACTGCAGAATGGTGACCAGATGTGCGCATGCACACACACATAGTAGTAAATATTGGTACCACATGTAATATTTAAAGGATGCTTCTGCCTGTACTTAGTGCTGACTGGTCTTCAACTGTTTCCGCTGTGTCCTGCTGTATTCTTGTATGATCCCTTTGTTCCTGACTTCGGATTCCACTCCTGACTTGTTGCTCGTTCCTGTTCCTGGCTCTGTTCCTGACTTTGGCTCTGCTCATGATTTGGTAGGTCTCTGCCTTCCTGTTGATGACTTTGGCTATTCCTGTGACCTCGCTCCTGTCTCCGATTCCAGCTTCCTGCCCTGCTCAAGTGCCCACCTGACTGCCTACTATACTAGCTCTGCACACCAGTGAGTGTTCCTGTTTCAAGTCTGCTGGGAGATCTGACACGCCACCTATCCTGAACATGTTGTGCCAGCAGAGTGCCCCTTTAACCCGGGTGGGATTCCGGAAAATCACTACCTTTCCTGTAACGACGGTTCGCCAGTCTCTTTGAGACTTCAATCTGCAAATTCTTCTGACAACATATGCTGGCACTCTTGTTCCTCTGGTCCCTGGTCCCTCGGTACCCTCTGTTCCATTCCAACGGGGTTTAGGGATAATGACATACAGTGAGGCTGACCTTGTCATTTCCTTCTACCTATCATGTATGTGACAGCACAGCAGACATGCTGCATAAATTCAGTGGTCTATAAATAGAGACACCAATGTGGGGAGGTGTAACATCCCAACACGTTTCACAGTAAAGCTTCTTCAGGGGTTCAATTGGTGTAGCTGATGGAAATTAATAACAGATATACAGTAAAATAAATAAATGGAAACACTCCATGATTTGAAGGTGTGAAAGTGATGACATGTTTCATGTTGAAAGCAGAAATGATGTAATATTCTTTGGTTTCCGCTGTGTGATGAGACACCTGGCTAACAGGTGGGAAACCTCACTTTCATCATTTATTGCTTGTGCTGCTAGTAATACGGAGTCATGTCAGAGCTTACCGAGCTTCAAAGATGGCAAATTGTTGTTGTTGCTTAGCTGGTGCCTCTGTGACTGAAGTTGTCAATTTATTTGTCACGTCGCGAGGTACAGGATCAAAGGTTATGACGGTGTATACAGTTTCCAGGAAAATGTTGTCTGATACGCATAAGGGTGGTCCACATCATCACCTGACTGAACGAGACAAAAGGACATTGAGAAGGATTGGGAAATGGAATAAGAAAACTACTGCTGCAAAAGTGACTGCAGAGCTCAATCTCAGTCCCTTGAGAACTGAGACTGAGCTCTGAGGGGGTGAGTAACTGAACTAAATAATGCTCTTTTATATCTGATCTGCTTAGATTACAGATTTTCAGTTTGTTTTTATGGTTGATTTATAACTTAAGTGCACATTCATTGTTATGAGCAATACAGATGAGTCATAATTAGTCCTGGTTTTAAATGCAGTATTAATAGCAGCTGGTTAGCTCATCATCTTTGGCTCTGATGCACTGTCTATAAAATTAAGATGTTCCAATAAATTATATAGTGCATTTAATTGATTGCACAATGATATAGACAGGCTCATAAAACTCAAACTGCAAAAGAAATGAACTATCAGTTGTCAGTAAAGAGCAATACCAGGAAGGAATGCCAGGGTGTTCAGTCCTTCCACTTTAGCCGTGGCCTCCTCATGTTCAGTATCCACAGGGGCCACATGTAAAGAGTCTGACTGACTATGGCACCTTCCACTATAATTAAAAAGTCACTTATCTTTTAAAATACATTTGATCTCTTAATGCCGCAGTAACAAGAGGCAATGTTCTAAATCAGCTAATCTCCAGCAGTTTGTGATCTGTGTCTTCAGTGATTACAAGAATGCACATCTAAAAATCCCCATTTATGGCTCCTGGCACTGAAAACTGGAATCAAACAGGCATTTGTGTTTAAGGTGTTTTAAAGTGTAGCACTGCCCCCTTAGGAGTTGCAGAGTTTTGGGTCCCCCTATAGTTCTACACAGTCAGGCAACATGCATTTTTCTCAGACTTGCATTCCAGAGACAGAAAACAGTCCTTAAGCTTGTTTTTTAGGGTTTTAATTAGGGGGATTGAACTTGGATGAGGTTGAGGGGTGTATGGGGTGCCCTAGGGAACTGTAACTGAGGACAACTCCTTAACAACTATGTACAAGTCCAGAGACAAACAGTCCCTCTTTGAAGCCCTTCTGGTGTACCTTCTCAGACCCCAGATGAATTCTCTGCTTCACTCAGGTGCCTGAAGGAATCCCTGAGCAAGGGGACCCAGAAACCGCTAAGGTAGTAAAGCACCCCAGGATGAGGAGCTACTTGGATTTTCCATCTGACTGCCCTCTTCCCTTATCTGGCCCAGGGGGTGTAGGATTACTCATTCAGTCCTCTCCTGAAAGCCTGTTGGGTTAATGGCTGGGCTCCTTCCCTGC